GGTGAGCTACTCACGACCGCAAGGGTAAAACACCGTTATGATCCTTATAACATGACAAAAATATTGCTGCAATGTGATTCAAGTCTCGGCTGGTAGACTTAGTTATCTACAAATGTTTGTTTTATTGTTTAAAGATCGTTAAAAGGGTATTTTTAGCAGGTGATGAGCCATAATCTCTCCGTAAGCCTCAAACAAAACCACAGTTGTGACTTTAATAAGGCAACCTTTGCTCCGCGGTATGGAAACTAAGCTTAGTGACCAAATGTCAATTTGTTTGAATTCCTGAGAAAAAAATACGTAGTTTTTATATCAGTGTAATGATCCAACGTAACAATAAAATTCATTAACGTTTTATAAGCATAATTGTAAAAAAATATAACCAAACAAAAAGGCAAAGTAAATAAAAACAGTTATCCTAGTCGTATTAGCTTTCTCGAGGATATGTTAAAGCTTTCGCGTCACTCTTCAGGCAAAGATAGTTTTGAATTTCACTTCTTTTTCACAATATTCCATAACCTGGAATAGTGCCACCTTAAAACCTCGTTTTCAGCAATTGGCGTCAACTCGTGAACGTGACCCCAGCTGGGTCCAGGCTTCATACGCACGACCTAACTAGATAATGACATTACCGAGGGCGCAGCTAAACGTCTAGTGTCAGAACTAATTGTCCGATTTTTTCCAGACTTTTCGAATCGGGTCACATACGTCTGATAAATCACGAACGTTTTCATAACTTCTGCCAAAAGTTTACAGATTTAGCAACAATACTGGATAACTGGCTAACTGAATGTTTCTCTCTTATCAATGCATACCATGTCGACACGAAAGAAGCCAATCGTAACATATTACATAATGTATCAAAAAGGGGGGGTGAGCTCTTAATTTTGCACGAGACTTCCCGCGTGAGGCTTCTCGCGCAAGGCTGACTCAGCTCAGAACACAATGGAAAGGACTGTTTTACATCAGGCTTAAGATCAAAGATAAAAAATTTACAAAGTCGGTTTTCCTTCTTTTCAAATGCTAGTGTTTTTTTCTTTTTGAGTTTGCCTGTATCTGTAGATAACAGCTCTTGACCAATCAAGCATCAGCTGATGCG